AACATTTGAAATGCATGCATCGTAGGAAGTTCTTTTGCACTCTTACAGGATGTTCTGAGTATTTTTTGTAAAGGAGATCCTAGAATGAGATGGCATATTCAATTTGTGAGGGTATTAAAGATTTATATAAATACATACATGTACTTGGCCGTTTAAAATAATTACTAGAGCGGATAACAAACCCATACATCTTATATGCTCTATTACAAATATTGTCAATATGTAGCTTTATTGTTATTTTTGAATATGTATGTTAACTCATAAGTATCGTATTATCTTTAATTTGATGCAATTTTTATATTAAACTACATTATAATTAAGCTAATTTATATATCAAAAAATAAGAAAACATAATCTCATATGCACAAGGGATATATCTGTATAGACCATATTTGTCATTTGCCATTTTCATCGATAACTATTTACAAAGCGGTATATCAAAACGATCACTCGATGACAGCAACAACTCAGATATAGACTCTGATCAGTGGCTCGACAGAACCGCATATTGTATGAAGTCGTGCGGTCTCATACTATATGCCGTTTTTGATAGAAGAGGGGAGCAAGCGAGCATGCTCACTAGATGGTAAGTGACTAATAACGCCCATGAATAATCACAACACCAGGGCAATTGGAGGTGCGGTGCCGGCCTTTAAGAAAAGAATAAGCTCTTTTCTTAAAGGTCCCTAAGTTATACCGGTCCGGAATAATCGCCAGTGAAATAAAATTACACTGAGAAGATATACGAAGAAGAGACTTCTAACGCACAGTGGTGGATCGCCCAACATCCAGATGGTGTGGTTGGAATTGAAATCAATATCGACGCGATGTGTGTTCATGAAATATGGCGACTGCAATTAATCCGAACAATTCCTCGGGAATTTCCCGTTGTAGATGCGATAGAAAATGCAAAGGGATGCAACATCTCTCCGCAGTGCCAGTGAATTGAGCTGATCAGAAAGAACTCGGTCGTCTACGATTCAAACCACTCTGCGCTGGACGCAGTCAAACAGAAGGAGTTGGCTAGGGTGCTCCGGCTCAGAGATGAGAACAGTATTCTATGTGAGACCGAAATTCTGCTTTGTAAAATTGCAAGCGATGTGCGAACATGAAATATCGTCCCACTCTGCTGATCACGCCAAACTTTTTAAAGGTTAACTTGGCCTTTCTCTCCAAGTGAATACGAAACTGCACTCTATTCGATATGTCGACGTCGAAGATTCTGATGCTAGCTGAGGCAGCAAGGGGGTGCCCTCAAACTGAGGAAATATGACAAAGGGATTCTTTTTAACGGTAAACCCGCAAACTTGTGTCTTCTGGGGATCGAACTGGACTAGAATTAGTCGCCCCAAATTCAAGCCGTTCTTCAGAAAATGCTCGAATTCAGACACAAGTTTGTGCCGGTACTCGGCGACGTTTTCCCAAAATAATATTGGCATGGCCGGTGTATAAAGCATCACCAGTGCTATCATCCGGATAGCAATGAATATTACCAGATTGAAACATAACATTGATATGCAGAAGAAACAGCCTTGGTGATAGATAGCACGCAGCCTTGTGTAACGCCAGCGTTTATAGACTTGTAATCAGAGCATGCACCGTCTATTACCACCTTGATACTCCGATCAGCGATGAAACTGGTGATCCAATCGCACAATTTCTCGGGAAGTCTATAGGAAGGGAGCCTCGAAAGAAGCACTTTGTCCTAGACTCAATTGAAGGCCTTCGCTATGTCCAAACTAACGGCCAATGCCTTCCAATTGAACTCTACTGCCTCCGCCCATATATGAATGAGGTAGAATAGAAGATCACCATCTGATCGAACCCGATGAAATCCGTATTGGCGGTCATTTATCAACTGATGACCCTCAAGGTAATTCATGACCTAGCAGTTTATAACGGATTTCATTATTTTGGAGAACAAGGAGGTGATAGTGATAGTCCTGTAGTTCGATGGGTCTTAGCGGTCACTCTTTTTTAGAGATCTGGTGGACCAAAGCTGTTTTCCATGAATTCGGGTCAACGCCTTGGGAGTAGGAGTATCGGAAAAGACGCGTTAAAACCGGTGCCAACTCCAGAGCTCACGTCTTCAACACAGTGGGAGGAACTCCATCAGGCCCACTCGACTTGTTTACTGTTGTTTTTGTTGTCCAGGGAGAGGAGTGCTTTACGAACCGAGCGCTGTGTAAACCGCACATCCGGTAAACAAATCTGAAACAACACGACCTACTATGACAACTATTGACCGTTATTATTGTAATTTTTGAGATTAAAAATAAATATATAGTACTAATGTCATAAAAAATTACTTAAATAAGAAAAGTAACGCCATCTTTTTGTAAATTTGACGTGGCCGACCTCTTATTGAGTAATTTCGGCATATTTTGTAGGACATTGATTCAGTCGCGCAACTAAAAATCCAATGAACAGTGCAATTGAACTAGTTAGGTGTACATTACACGCTCATGTAGGAGTCAATCACTGCATTACACGGTAGGTTATTCGTCAATCACAAACGTGATTGTTGTAAAACTGACAGCCTGCATGAGCGTGTAATGTATGCCTTATTGTACGCATAGGACCGCGAGGACTTACGCTTTGGCACTATGACACTCCCGTACCGAAGTACCTTACTTCGGCAGCCTGTGTTGCTTTATAGAAATAAATAATATAACAATAGAGGACATAGTCCATTCTCATTCATGGTAAAGCTACAATCATTGTATTTATCAATTAGAATGCCAGGGTAAAATAGCAGCTTAATACTGCTGGTTTTCGTATAATAAATGGATGGATAGATGAATGGGGAACGAGACACTTTTACTGATAAAAAGCCTCTTTTAGTGCTATCAACAGTTAATTGTCTATATAATCCTGGTTAATTGAGAATATAAATGTAGGTAGGTAGCTATTAGCCACATCATCCACTTGTCATCACAAAGACCGTGTGTATCTTTCCTTATTCCATAAAAGCGTGTGACGTATGTTATCGCTGACAGCAATATTTCAGTAATTTATGTGGTATTAGTAGTGTATTCTCATCTGGTTGCGCTGAATAAATATATAAAAGGAAATGATAAATATACATAAATATATATTTCATATACCAGCACCAATAAATAAGTAATACATAAATAAATAAAATCCCAACCAGATGGAGGCCTTCCGCAGGGGAGATCAAACGGCAGGCGATGCGGGCGGTGTCGAGGAGCACCGCCTTCTGCATTTGAGCCTGGAGCGGTCCCTAACGGAGTCCCAGCCTCCTCAGACGATCCTAAAGGCTGACTGGGATTAGCCCGTTTGCAAAAACGACTACAGGAATAATTTGAGTCGGCAGACCACCCCACATGTCGGTTACCTCGTGAGCCAGGTCCAGATATTTTGTTCGTTTATCTGTTTCGGCTTTCACGAGGTTCTCGTCATACGGAATGGTAATGTCGACCAAAAATATCCTTGACTGTGCCCGGTCCATCAGCACAATATCAGGCTTATTCGCAAGAATAGTCCTGTCTGTGATGATGGCCCGGTCCCAGTAGAGCCTGGCGCGATTATTTTCGAGCACGGCTTCCGGCAAGTACTTGTAATACGGCAATTTCCGGTCCACGAGACCGTATTTCAGAGCGAGCTCCTGGTGAAGAATTCTGGCGAATTCTGGTGGTTGTGCCTGTGCAAGTACTCAGAGTTAGAAAGCGCCGAACAACCGGAGATGACATGCCTAAGTGATTCGCCGGGATGGCGACAAGCACGACCGATGTCGACGGTGCCATCCTTTAGGATGTATCTCCGATAGTTGTTGGTCTTAATAATAAGAGGGCCTTGTAGAACCTCCCGTGGAACTCCTTCTCCTTCCATACGGTCTCCCGGTCGGAAATGCTCTGCACTGCCGGGTCTTGCCGTTGCTCGTTGGCTAAGGATAGAGGGGTAAGTCCTTTATCACAGCAAATGACGTCCTTATAGAATGGATCATCCGATCTCACCAGGAAGTAATTACGGAGGCTGCACACTTCGCGATTATACATGGTGAGCGCGCTCAAAAAGCCACGCCCACCATACTTTCGCGGCAAGTACAGCCTCATTACCGACGATCTCGGATAATGCATCCTATGGGACGTCATAGTAGTGTGGACTTTTCTATCCAGGGCGTTAAGTTCAGTCTGAGTCCACCTGAGTATGCCAAAGGTATACATGAGGACAAGCATGACCCAACCGTTATATGCGTGTGTCTTATTTACACTAGACAAAAAGCTGTTGAGTAGTTTAGTCAAGCGTGCATAAAACATGTCGCAAACTGACTGTTTCATACCAGCCTCATCGATACCGATGTTCTGTGACACACCCAGACACACTGATGGGAATAGATAAGTCTATGCCCTCAGAGTTAGCAACCCTTCCCCTTTCAACATGGAGGACCGCAAATTTATCCGTCCCCAGCTCCATTCCAATAGAATTGCTAAATTCACAAGTGATGTTTAGCAATTCCACAAGATGGGAGCGACTGGAGGCGAATAACTTGAGGTCATCCATATAAAAAGGTGGGTTACTTTTGTACCTCCTTTCCGAAGCTGAAAACCCCTCCCGGAGCCCTCCAGTAAAGTACTGAGAGGGTTCAAAGAGAGGCAGAAGCAGATTGGACTCAGACAATCGCCCTGGAAGATACCCCTTCTTATCCTTATGTGGCTTTCCGCAGCCATCATCCGCTCGCCCAGGTGACAAAGGATCGTACTCCACTACCCCAATGATTTGCTCGAGGAAGTCTCTGTACTGTCTATCCAGATGACAAAGGATCGTACTCCACTACCCCATGTATTACTCGAGGAAGTAACTGTACAGTCTATCTTGTACAGCTCGAGGACTCTCTTTAGCCATGTATGGGTCACCGAGTCGAATGCCTTTCTGTAGTCTATCCAGGCAGCGGAGTAGTTCCGAGGGTTGCGTTTAACCACTTTGCCAATGACCGCGTCAATGAGAAGTGGTTCCTTGGTTCCACGACCACCGCCCCGTCATCCATTTTGAGCGCGCGACAACACCTGATTTGAGTCCAGGTGACGAGTGATTCTCGCGCTCAAAATGGATGTTAGTGCCTTGTATATGGTTGGTAGACACGTAATGGGGCGGTATTTGCTCGGGTCTGTGGTATCCTGGTCTTTAGGAACCAAATGAGTGATCTCAGTAGTGAAGAGGCTCGGGAGCAACTTCTGGTTGACAGCCTCTTGGAACTGTCGGGCAAGCACAGTGTGACACACTACAAACCTCTTCAGCCAGTAGTGAAGCAGCCCGTCGAGTCCCGGACTTTTCCAGTTCGGGGCCCTACGGACCTCCTCGGCTACGTCATCCGGCGTTATAATGACGGGGTCCATGTGCGTTATACTTGCACACTGACTCGCCACAACTTCCGTCCAAGAGCCCTCGCTGTGGTTTACGGGCTCTGACCACAGACCGCGCGAGAATGTTACAGTGTCGGCCTGATTCAGTGCTGGGCCCGTTCCACTTGCCATTGGTCGTTCCAATGATTCATAGAGCCTCTTCTGATCACTCTGGAAGAGACGATTCTGGTTGAACCGAGTCGACCTCTCGGTATATCGCTGAATCCGCTTTCCCCAAGCAGCGATTCTCTGCTTCAGATCATCTATGCGCTCCGTCAGTTTTTGCATTATATCCAGCTGGGACAAACTGACATTTGTCCCAGAAAATGCCATCCTGACGGTGCGCACAATTCTTAGCCTGTTATTGTCTGATCTGAAGCATATCAGTCTGCCGATGAGAGCTCTAACCTTTGCGATACGCTCCTCAATTCTTTTTCTCCATGCTGGGATAGCGCTACTTTGGCCAGTAGCGCGTCCAGCCGTAGAAACCTTGACGCCTATGATACGGCAGACTGCCAGCGCGGCGCCAAAAAGAATTGAGTCCGTATCGCAAAGGTCCCAGCTGGCTTCCAAATAGGTCACCAGCATTAGGTTCAGAGCTCTCACGACAGCCCGATTCCGCTTGCTTAAGGCTATGTGGGGAAGTCGCGGTCGATTTTCGAGAGGCGTACTGCGCGTTTCCATAATCGCCTCTTCCAATGTATTCCTGTCAGTAATTTTATTATTATAATACAAATCACACAAGCAGCGTTATTGACGGACGTGCTAAGTAAAAATTAAATTGCATTTTATAAATATTATTTTTTACTAATAGAATATTTAAAGAAAGAAACGTGTATCTGTGCCTTTACCGTTGTAAGTTGTAACGCTATTTAATAAATCAACCTTCCATTTAGTGGAAATATAAAATCGGAAATTATTGAAATAAATTATAGGTTTTTACCATCAGCGGTTAAGCAAGCGTAATTTATGTTGCCACCAGGCTGTGATTTGGCGACAAAATTTCTGCAAATATTTACTTTAAACGCCATTAGGCGCAATTATTAAGCATTTAAAATACGATCAAATGCATAAAAGCTATAAAATTTATTGCCCCTAGCACAAGTTTCCATTTTGTGTTTATTTCTTTACTGTCCCTTTGCTCAATGGTTGTTCTTGTAATGAAAATATACTTTTGAACAAAACTGGTTTTTTAAGGATAGTATCGCATATATTAACTTATTTTATATTCCCGACGTAAAGTGCTGTAAAGTGCTCGAAACTAGTCATGAGGGGATTGAAATATTCGACGTCCCAATGTAATAGTTAACCACGGCTACACGGCATACGGCACGGATACGGTGTCCTATGTAAGAGAGACCACATTCACAATCAAATTTGTCTTACTCCTGTATCTTGCTGAGGGACATTACACTTGATTATGGTAAAAACTGAATAATCTTCTACGGTGGCTTGAAGTAATATATATTTTACGTTTTAATGGAAGCACTAAATAGCACTTAAAAGCACATAATTTATCTATCCAATTTTGACAGATTTCATTCAGGTGCGTACCTTTCGGAAGGTCACGTCACATCTCGTCACATATTTCTTAGAACTGGAAAAAGTGTTTAACTACTATTGCATGTTTCCAGTAATGACCTTGGATTTGAGCCATAATATAAGCATGTGGCTATACTCACAGCTATGGAAGAAAAAAGTTTAACCTTGATGGTTATTTACTTTTAAGCCCTCTTAGTTATTTCTGTCGCCAAATTGCAGTGCATTCATTGCTGTGTCTAAAAGATATGAAGATACAGTGTAATTACAGGCTATGAAACATTTCGTATCAGTCCTCAGAGGTGACAACGTATCTGAAGCCTTATTTGTATGAAGGTGGACTGCGGGTTCGCTTATCACTTTAGTTTTATAAAATATGTTTTCCAAGCTTTAGTTTTCTTGACTATATATACATCTATAGATTTTTTTTTATTTAAATTTGACTACAGCCATAAATACTTTATGGGAATCAATTTAAATTAATACTTTATGCCCACCAAGCATTATTGGTAAAACTTATGTAGTTTTAATTTTATATACAAGGTGACATATTTTATCATGTTACTTATTAAATGATTTTGTAAGAAAAAAAATCGTAATTTTTATGGAGTAACTGTGACAAGCGAGAACACACTCCAACTAATGGTAAGTGGATGCTGTGACCCGTAAACCATCTACATGTATTCTCGATTAAGAATCAAAATACAGATGCTTTATCACCCTGAGAATTAAGATGGAATGCCTCGTTTCATTAAAAAGGATCTCCGGATCTCTACTCGCCGTACAAAACACGGGAGCATTATTTTGTGAGAGCGTGGTCCTTACCCGTTTGAACCGACCCATTCGTGCTATAATCACAATATAGCTGCAGTATAGCTCTGTTACGCGTGTTTAATACTATAAAGCTTTTAAATACTATAAAGCTAAAGACTGGAGCTTTTATAGTCGTACATAACATATTATCAAATGATATATTATGTTTGATTGTATTGAATGTGTTGCATGTGTGCGTGCCTCTTTTATAATCGAGATAATAAGAGTTGAGCATATTTGAGGTTAGAAAAACTTTATTCACACTAGATAAAAATTACTTTTTACTTTGTGTAGCTTCAGGATGCGGGTACTCTAGTGCTGGGATAGCCAATTCGCACGCCAAGTGTGGATGGTGGTTGAGATTTTTATGAGCTGATGATGAAGCAGAAGAATTTTGGCTGGGTTCCAATTTGTACAGGAACAGGCTCACCAGAAATTAACCAACCTTATGAACAGAAGGTGGTTGTGTCGAATGATAATTTTGAGGCATTTCTCCAATTTCAAAATTAATTTTTATTAAATGATATATATATATATATATATATATATATATATATATATATATACATATATATATATATATATATATATATTCGCTTGATGTAACTTTGTGAAAATTTTATATCTGTCACCTAGTCATTATTAAAAGTGTTTAAATTAAATTTAATTATTATTTAAATAAAAAATATTTATCTATTTCGTATTCACAACATAGATTGCAGGATTCCTAATGCATCAATATTTTACATCAGATTGCTTGTTTGTTTACTCGGTTTTAATTTATCCTTGTGTTAAGTTAAAAAAACATTATTAGCTGTGCCCGCTTCGTTCGCAAAGATTCAATTTTAATAACTTATTATATTTCACTATTTGAATCGGATTTTGCATCGATGATGATGTTTTAAGGTTTTTGCACTGAACCCTAATTTAAAAAAAAACAATAAATTCACCTAAGTTACTCCTTATAATATCAGCTAACTTTTAGTGAAAAAAAGTGCAGTAAAGAAAATACTGCTAAAATCGAGCCAGCCGTTTCGGAGATTATCTGGAGCAAACAGACAGACAGACGGCCTAAATTTTTAATTTTTTTTTTGTTTTAAGTACTTACCTATAATCATATGCATTTTGTAAATGATGTTATTTTGACATTACGCTCCAATTTCATTAATTTTCATAGATTATTCACGTATGTCAATACACTTTTCTAATTCATAAGTATCAACTTTTGATAAATGTTTGAAGTACAATTTGTGCTCATTATCTTATTTACCTTCTTTAAACTTTTATCTAAATCTCAAGTGTTTTCTAATTAGAATTCAAGTATATACTTTAAAGAAACGAAATCAATAAGAAACAAAATTTCACGATACTTAATCTTTAAATTGTTTTAGAATGTAATAAATCACCTCCCCTTACCTCCACTGGTTTCTCGAGGCTACAATCTTGCTTAAATAAGTGTTATTTGCATAACTTATTATCCTCTCTGCAGTGGTAAAGTTCGTTCTTTTCGTTTAATATTAATTTACATATTTCGTATTTAGAATTTTGATAGCATTACATTACAAACAAAGATAAGCATGAAAAATTATAACGCTATTATACGTTTGTCTAAATTTATATAGGTTTCCCGTAGATATGTACGGGAAAATTAATTCGTATACTGTAGTTAGTACATTTATACAGCCTTACACTATATTCTATCAAATATTCACTAAAACCAAAAAGTGTCACAAAATATCAACAGTTTTAATCTTTTATTTTTAAACGATGTACCATAAAATAAAATGCAACTATTTTATTTTACTGTTTTCTCAGTTTTACTTAATACCTACGTTCCGCAATGTTTTATAACATCATTCGTCATTAAAACTTCCTTCTCATCATAATTGCAGCCTCTCAAAACTCCTTTACTGAACATAGGCCTTTTTTTTCATAGTTGACTTCATATTTGTAGCTTTAGCGGAAAGATAAAAATATTTCATAGATTGCTTCATACTTTCCGTAGTTTTATCGAAAAGATAAAAATATCGTATAGTAGCGGTGTAAGAATATGCACTACTCCATATTATCCCATGGGTGTCGTAAAGTCAATAGAGAGAAACATATCAGGAGATGATCAACAGCTTCCTGCTAGTAACGAAAAATATTAAAAAACTGCGGTTGCAAATTCCCTAAGCGTAGTTAACGCTAACGGTGTCAAAAAGATTGTATATAAAATGATAAACAAAAAATAATGTTTTATAGCAATACTAGCGCTAATATTGTTATAAAACTACTACTAGGACCGGCTTCAAACGCGTGATTTACGGATCTCGATAACAGCGCCATCTACCGCGTCCCATTGTGTATCTAAACCATCCAGGCACCATACCACCTTATACTCTCAGGGACATATACGCCAGGGAAATACACAAAAAATTTCATAGAAATCCGTTAAGAGGGTAGACGGTCTGCGCGGGAATTGAAAAATAGGTATTTGAAGAAACTATTGCCGTCCATCACCTCTGGTCTCCACCCGAAGAGTGCGATAAGGACAACTGTAGCTCAAAACGATTTTACCTACAAAAACCATGACCGATCGTCGTTTCGTATACCCCGGTTTTCTTCGAAAACTAAGCTAATTAAATTATTTTTGGTACCAAAATTTAAAGAAAGAACAGATCTATGCTTCTATCATTTGCTTTTATCTTAAAAACTTTTCCAATTTCTTCGGTAGTCGTCTGATTACGGAGGTGAAAACGGGGCATTTTTTTAGGTTTTTGGAAAGTCATATTTATCTTTGTAATAATTTTTTGAAAAAAGTAAATGACAGGGGCATGCCTCCAATAGATCTAGATTTTTATAAACAAAAACGATTACTCTAGAGGCATTAATCAGAAAGAAAATAGGTGAATACATTTGTATGGAAAAAATGCAGCCCGTCTACCCTCTTAAGTAGTTTAAAAGATCTAGGCGTACAGACATCGGGAAGCGACTTTTTTTTTATACTTTGTAGATATGTTGTTTTAGTATCATCTGTTTTTGCTTAATTTTGTAATTGTCCATAATATGCATGCTGTGTCTATCATTAGGTGAAGTTCATACTTAGTCATTGTCAAATTCTGTTAAATTTGTATTATGTTAGAGGCCTAAAATAAATAAACAAGATACGATTCCGAAGTAAAGACATTACTTTCATTCTTATGAAAAAGGCGTGTCGTAGACTAAAATAATAGTTGTAATATTGTTACCGTAATTGTAGTAAAATGAAACAAAAACTCGTTTAAACAAATTGCATGCCCTCGCAAATGGCTGTAGAAAATACTCTATGCATAATTTATGTTTCCAAATAA